CAATTTTCGAATAAGAATGAGTCGGCAATTTTTAGTGGAGTCGAAAATTTGGAGGTAAATAAAACACCGAAACCCGGCAAATAAATAGCCAATCGAATTTTTAGAGGGGTCGAAATTTTGGAGTTTTCACGGTACTAATTATTCCATTTCAATGAAACTTAGTACAAAGATGCTCTAGGACAATGTACAAACCTAATTAGTTTGGGGTAAAAATCTGTTCATATTAATTCCCTAATAAGCATAATAATTCATAATTTTTTGGTTCTAATCACATTTCAATTAAACTTGGAGACATAGATTTTCTGTTACATTGCGCAGACCTCATTAGTTTTACACTCAAATCTGGTCATATTAATTTTCTGATTTGCATAATTAGTTTTCAGCTAAGTAATTTCGAATTATATTTAATGTGTCTCCAATACTCTCGGCACATGGGAGTTCTTTCTAAGCTTTCTTTGATTATTTTTGTACCTTGGATGGTCACTATACACAGGTTTTACAATAATATGCTTTTGGGGCGTTATGTACATTTCGAATAACTGGTTCCATTCCAATTTTGGCATATGGAAAAGATCATAAAGATACTTTTTCCCAGACAAAAACAATCACTGTTCTTTATTTATTAATTTGTTTGTTTATTTATTATGATTTATTCATTCATATTTCTCATACAGATGTAACTTAAGTTAGCAAGAGTGATCTAAATGGATGTGTGATCAATTTATTTGTGCCAGAGTCTAACAGAGAAGAACCTCCTCACACCAGCATATTGTTGAGGTTAGTAAACACATAGTGTTTAAATTGCATGTATTAAAGTATGTGCACAGTAATATCCTTCCTATCATCATTTTAGTTGCATTCATGTTAGGAATCCTGCCATGTGCCTGGCATATAACCAAACTAGCACTATCAGTAGTGAACTGGAGAGAAAATGTTGGTAGACGCTGGCATAGCTAAATCTATGGTCTGGTTCACAGGGGTTTCCCAAATGCATTTAATAGCTTACCATCATCCTGTAACAACACGGCAACAAAATAAAAAGGCTCTAGGCAGTGTGAAGTACTGCAACGAGACTGATGTTGGCAGTCGGGGGCAAGAAAGTAGACTGCTAATTAGGGTCTGTAGGGGCGGCCATATGGCCGGTGGCTGACTATTTACAAAACCCAGGTTTCATATAAGAGCAGTCCTGAGTATCTGGAAAGAAGATGACATTCTGTATCATGTAGATAGCTAACATGGAACAAGAAACATATTTATCATTAAAAATAAAATCTGACTCGACACTAAAATCAATGTTCTCAATAAATATACAGTAAAATAGCATCGCATGTATAAAGATTTTGTGTTCAGTCCACCATGATTAGGTCAATAATGAACAGAGTTGATCTTGATGTTTGTGAATGCAACTTTGCTAATATCTATAAATATGAAGGTTTAACAATATTCGTCATGTGCTGAGATCTCAAACACTACTCTAGAATTACTTCAAAATTATTGCTGTCACTAGTCTGAATGCTTACCGGGTAACTACCTTCATTTGCAGTGTATATTGAATACTGAGAATAAAAGATGGATAGAATAAATGGTATAACGAATGCTACAAGACGATTATCTTCAGTTTCCCTGGGTCATAGGTCACCCCTTAAAGGTACACATGAATCACATGTATTCTGTTTTTCATGCCCAACTTTTGGCAAGTACTGTGAAATCGGTATTAGTGCAGTTTCTATTTAAATGATACAATGCAACATGAGAAATGGTAAATTTTTCGTGCTCAATTGTTCCAAAAAATGTGTGTTACTTCTATTAGGGATGGGGCTTCTAATACACATTTTAAGGTACTTTCTCGTGTTATGTTGTGTTCTATGGATGTCCTTGTGAATAATATGTGTAATATTGAGGCTGATAATTTCCTAAAGGTAATGCATCCTGGCACTTTCATATGTGTTACTGTTCTATAACAACAATAAATTACAATGTTAGACAGCAATATACCGACAATATTGCCAGTTGCTCCAGTACTTCAAAATACATGTACTCATGACTCAACAAAATATCAGTGATGTTGTGATCTTGGGGGGGGGGGGGGGGAGAAACATTTAAAAAAAACTCATTGTAACTCTAGATCAATACAAAATCCGCTAGCGAGGACATGCTAAATTGCTTACATTGAGGGGTTAGTAGCATATGCGCTTAAATTTTGGTTTATTTGTGCTTCTGTTGGGTAGAGCAAATATGGTAAGTAAATGTTATTGATAGTGAAATATATGAACCCCATCTCCACACAAGTACCAGAATCTATATACTTCAGTAGTCTTGCATAGCTCCTATTGTTGCACTATGTTTGTTCATGAAACAGAGAAACAACAAACTGTTGTGGAAGAAGAGGAACAAATTAAATACAACATTCTGGTGAAGAAATCAAAGCAAAAAGCACTTGATGGATTAGCCAGCGAGTCTCTGGCCTTATTACAGCAAGCTGCCAAAATATACGACAACGAAAAAATACAAAGACGCATAAGAAAGCTGGAGGTTAGTTTGAGCTTGAGCTACTGAGAAAACAAACAAGTAATGCAGTGTTGTATTTCATTTAATGCGTGCCACATTTGTTTATGTGAGTTAACACAGGAGGTTCCATACTGCACAATGATACAATAGATACCGGTACACATACTTTGAACTGTAAAAGGGTTAATTATTCGCTGGGTTTTAATTTTGCTTATTTCACTGACTGAAAAATGCTCTAAATTAAAACCCAGTGAATATGTAAAATTTAGCATAGAACACATAATCAAAATGATAAAACCGTGAATTTAAAACCCACTGAATGTGCCTGAAATGGCAAATCAGCGAAATTTTAACCCAGTGAAAATTAGTCATTTCGCAGTATCTGTTGTTCAGTGAAATAAAGAAAATGTCACACAAGTAAACATTTTGATGTAAAGTAAGTGCTGATTCTCTGTACAAAACCAGCAGTCAAAATTCTAAAATCAGTCATAAAACTTGGGTGTCGGCAACACATTTTTTTTTTTTTAAATACACCTGATTCGAGGTATGTGAGGGGATCAAAATCCTACAAATATTATAACAGTATTTCACATAAAATGATCTCGATTGCGTTGATAAACAGGATTGAATATCATTGCTGTAACCTCATTTTGAACCCAGAATGGGGTACAGTATGAATTTTCTCGTTGGTGCAGAATGAGGGGCGCAGAATACGGCCCAGAATGGTGGCGCAACTAGGTGGCGCACAATGCTTATTTTGGGAAATGAGCCAGCGCATTCCGGTGGCGCAGAGTACCGATTTTGAGCCTCGCGCATACCTCCTGATTCACGAAGCTTTTTAAGATGAAAACAAATTTCTAAGTGTCAAATTTGCTTGGGACTGGGGTTTCACTGTTGACTGGTGAAATCCCAAGGATTGTAAACAGCTATTATGTTGGTTGGTGAATTGCTATAAATTTACAAAATGACGTCCAAAGAGTAAAACAAGGTGTTATTGTATGACAGGAGTATATCAAAGAATATGGAGATGAGGAATCTGAGGAAGAAGATGATGGAATGGCTCTCGTTGGTGATGGATTTAGTATTAGGAAGGAACTCTATGAAAAACTTTATCCATATCAGAGAGAAAGCATACTATGGTTCTGGGGATTACACAAAAAAAAGTCTGGTGGTATTTTAGGGGATGATATGGGGTATGTAACAATGTTTATTTTCGTACTTGACAAAAACTGGGAATTAATGTGACTGTTATCTCTCCTGATATGTACAATTTTCTTTACCACAGCATATTCCATGACTATACGACAAAGTTGTGTAATCGCAACATTGTACGCTATGCTGTAGTTGACTTGGATGATGCATGTGAATGAATCTTGGCAAGTGAATTTGGTGTCTGCAATATTTTTGTATCATTTTGGTATTGGCTTTGTGATCTCATTTTGGCATTTCATTCATGGTTCCATTTTGGCATTTCATTCATGGTTCCATTTTGGCATTTCATTCATGGTTCCATTTTGGCATTTCATTCATGGTTCCATCCGTTATTACTCCAGTGATGCCAAATATTTGTCAAAGATGTAAAACAATGATTTGTATCAAAAATTATTTGACATAAGATAACACCATAACTATGAGAGAACAGCTTTTTTGTGTATAATAGATTCTTAATTTCACCATTTCATATTGTATTTGCTCTATCATTGATGTGTGCTTATGTGAATTACAGAAATTTGTTTATGGTTGATATGTTCGTTTTATATGCGCTTTTATTAGAGATGCACTTGTAATAAAGCAAATACGATATTATTACTTACAATGTACTAAAGAGTTTACAAATGCATTGCTTATTAAACAAGGAGTCCTGTTGTATGTGTTCACATGGATTCATTCCATCTTTCATTTCCCAAAAAAATATAAAACTCCAATAAGTCAATAATTATGCATTTACAGTATTCACATTATTTTGTAACCAATTGTGTTGATGTTCTAGACTTGGTAAGACTATACAAGTAATCGCATTCCTAAGTGGATTGTTCGATGCAGAGAGAGTGAAAAGTATTCTCATTGTATTGCCAGCAACGTTAATTATCAATTGGGAACGAGAATTTGATAAATGGTAAGCTGGTTGTATGCACAATACACAAGTTTTGAGTACCTCTGTTACCTTAGAAACAATCTAGTGTAAAAATATTTCAATTGCATCTACATAAGGGAGTTGATTTCATCGCGTAAGTGATTGATAGCTATTCAGAATGCCTGTAAACCAGTGAACAAATTGCACAAGCTAGAAATCATGCACCCACCCACCCCAATCTTGTACAGAAACCATCTGATAGCACTGTGGTGCACATTTGTGCCACCTGGCAGTTACAGCAAAACAATCTTTTAATTAAAGCGTTAAATAGCTGTGATTTTGAACATTTTTTTTTTGTTTAAATATAACCACTTGATTTTTACGTCATGTGTTCAGTCTGCACCTTTCACAAAATGCAATGAACGGATAATAACCTATTGCAGGACATGTTTTAGAGTGCAAAAATATTTATACAGTTGCATAGAATCTGAAAACGATGTTGTCATACATATCCTCATTTATACATGTACTTGGTATAATTATATTATATTCATATTCCACTTCAAGATTTACTAAATGTACGATAAAGTTTAATCATTTGAACAAGTCAAGATTTGTCCCCCTTCAAAATTTTGTTTTCACATTTTCAATATTTCTAATCAAGACTCAAACAGGAAATTATTACATCTGGTTCAAAATTAACCAATTACGTCATTTGCTGCCTGGCTTAGTGTGGAACTGAGTGTAGTAGTTTTAAACCACACATTCTCGTTAATTTCCAGGGCGCCTGGCATAAGAGTACTAACATACCATGGCAGTAATAAGAGAGAAAGAGAGCGAGCTCTCTCTAAAGTTCAGAGAAGAGGTGGTGCTTTATTGAGCACATATGGAATTATCTCCAATAACTGGCAAGAAGTTGCCACCAATGATCGTGATGGCAGAGACTTTGTCTGGGTGAGTTTTTGGCTTGGATGCAGATAGTTAGGAACAATAGAATATTTTAACTGTGGCATGCTGTAGCGTTGTCTTTTCACTAAGGATTATAATGTCTAAATTGTGAACAAAAAAACAACCCAATCAGCAGTATTACAATATATAGCTCACTGTTTTGCAAAGAAAATAGCATTATTGATAGCTCAAATTGAATTGAATTGGAATTGAACAAATGCAACCCAACACTGATGTCTCTTTCTATGTTATACAGGACTATGTCATCTTGGATGAAGGTCACAAAATAAAAAACAAAAGTAACAAATCATCTAAGGCAGTGCATGCTATCCCAGCAAAGCGACGCATTATTCTGACTGGCACTCCTATTCAGAATAATTTGAAGGTACGTGTGTCTCATTTATCTGAATATCTGAATAATATCACTTGATTGATTTTACTGTACAAAAAAGAAATGTAAGCTTTTCATTACGGTTTCAATAAAGCTGTATTCTATTTTTCGATTTTATTCATTGTACAAATCATTGTTGTATGATGCTCCCCCATTGTCGGAGTGCACTTTCAAAAACAAAAATACCGTAAAATCTGTATAAGAAACCGCATCCTTAATAGAAGACGCAGCCATTCTTTTTGAATAATTGAGAACCAAAAATTCACTATTTCTCACATGTGTAGATGCTCTAATACAAGCTGCATCCCCTCTGTTGTATTGTACCATTTTAATAGAAGCCGCAGCTTCTAATACAGTTTTTACAGTAGTTGGAACAAATCATAAATGCAGATTTCTCAAAGTACTTTAAGGAACACTTTACTGTTTAAAGTTGATCTTTCATTATGAGCAAACAAGACTTCAATGGTGTTGTCAATATGGGAGAATTATTTTCCCAGCTTAATAATTTAAAAAGGTATCTTTCCCTGGCAATAAATTTATGTGCATGTTTGTGCACATAATTTATAAGAATGGCTTTCAATAATCTCTATTGTAAAAACTTAGTATAGCCGTCTTTGGTTTAACAAATAATTACAATACCTTAGCTTGCTTTTAGTACTACCTATTCTTTGCAACCATGTCCACAACGGATCAGATGTTAAAATGATTCATTTTATTTATTTTCAGGAATTGTGGGCTTTATTTGACTTTGTAACGCAAGGGCAGCTTCTGGGTACCCTGAAGACATTTTGTTTGGAATATGAGGGGCCAATTGTCAGGGTAAGGATCTTGTCTCATCATGAATCTGTAAATTTCATTACGAGATGGTGGCATGGTAAGCACTCTTTCTTAGCTCCAGTCTATGAATTGGAAGAACCAAGGACAATCGGCTATGAATGAAGAAATATATTATTTATTTGTGTGTTCAACATGATACAAATAAAACAAATACTAGAGACAGATTTACATTTGGTATTTCTAGACATGCACATTTGTTTTGCATACCCTTCCATGTGTATCATTTAAAATCCTTTGTCATATCTACTTCATCTTAAATTGTCTTGCTTGTGCAGGTTAAATGTTGTACACTGTATTCACTTGTATTCTGATTGCATCGTAGGCACGACAGAAAGATGCGCGACCATCCGAGATGCGGCTCGGCACTGAGATGGCTGAGAACCTTCGGCAGATAATAGAACCGTACTTCAAAAGAAGAACCAAAGCTGAGACGTTGGAGAAGAACAAAGAGAACCAAACTAAGGATGATACTCGGGAAGAGATGGATGGGAATACGACTGCCAGGTACAGTTTGGTGGATTTAAAAGCGCATCCAGTGTTCTCCATAGGTTTTCATGCCCAGCAGTTTTACCATGCCAAGCCACATTTGAAATTTCAAGCCAGTGTCAATGCTTATATTATGTTGTCAATACTTAATTAATATTCTTATCTATCTTTCCAGCAGCACTTCTACTCCGACACCATCTTTAACAAGGAAAAACGATTTGATACTATGGGTGTTCTTGAGTAAAGTGCAACAGAAAATCTACCAGGATTTTGTAGAAACTCCAGAAGTCCGACAGGTGAGGTTATTTAAATTTACCGATTTAGTTTGTAAGGAGTCTTAATTAAAGCAATGCAATTATGTTTTCTGCAATACATTTATTATCTTATCCTTACAGTGACATTTAAAATTACATTGGTTCTTTTTTTTATGTACAATATATTGAGAATATATGATGGGGGTCATTGGGACACTAAAAGTGAACAAAAAATGGGTTTCACCAGAAAATTTTCAAGAAACTTCCCTTTTATCTACCGGTACATTGATTTCTATGGTGAAAGTATTTCTTCATGTCTTAAAATTTAGTGCGAAGTTTTTGTATTTTTTGATAAATCATACAAATCCTACATATTGTTTTGTTCAAGATGTACTAACAAACAAAATTATTTAGTTAGCAAACTCTAGGGAAGTTCCTTTGCATTGCAACATCAAATGATCTAATGTTATGAAAACTATTTGCTCACTTCCCCTAGTGCCACTTGATTTTGGACTACAATAATTCATTTTTGTCTCAGTACACACTATGACTATTAAAGTCTTTTTTCATATTGCAACATTGTTGTGACTATACAGAGGAAGTTGTAAATAATCTGTACAAATCTTATTTGCGGCTGCTTCAATTATCTGGGGGGAAGTTGATGGGGTTATTGGAACAAGGACGTTCCAAGGAAAGTTGCAAGTTACTTTTACGAGTCTTGTTTGCACTCACAGTAAATATCCCCAAAATACTCCCAAATTGCGTCTCACATACTTGTACTGTTCATCTTTTTTAGTTACTGATGACCACTAGGTCTCCCCTTGCTATGTTGACGATGCTCAAAAAGATATGTGACCATCCAAGGCTACTCAACAAGAGAGCATGTGGTATGTTGAATCTAGAGGGAGAGGAGTGTGATCCGTATGGGGACTACAGCGACACTGCCAGCCAGATCTCATCATCGGAGTGCGCAGCTGATAACATAGACAATGTGAGCATTTCAGCCCTGGTGGAGGAGTCTGGTAAACTCGTGGTGCTTATATCACTGTTAGAAAACCTACGGGATGAAGGGCACAGAACTTTAGTGTTCAGTCAATCAAAGAAGATGTTGGATATCATGCAGAAGGTGTTGGAAGAGAAGGTAAATATGGTAAAATATTTTCACTGATGAAATGATTCATTGAAAATAAAATCCAGAGAAAACACTTTTTTTCATATATTTCACATTCAACTCATCACAAATCGATGAAAATAAGTTACATACAAAGTACCCGAAAAGTTTTTTCGTTGAAAATTAATTCCAGCTAAAATAATGTAGTTTATAGTATGCAGTAACCAATGTCTCAATGCCAAATAAAAAAAAATTAGGAATGCGTGGCGATGGCGAAATTGGGAACGAAAATTGTACAGGAAACTGATGGGAGTAAATTCGGCAGGGATCAGTAACAGGATAGAAAAATTTATTGGTCTAAATCTTTGAGATTTGGTGAATTCATTATGAAAAAAAAAAAGTACTAGGCTAAGCACAAAACTAAGTGAAAAAAAAAATATTAGTATAGTTTTTCTGCCATTGTTCCATCCAGAGTTTCCATAGTTCCTTGGCATGCCTTATTGAGTCATAATTGCAAATCTGTGCATATTAATCAGGTAATTTGCATGTTTTGTTGATATCTTTAGTTTTCTCATCGTTGAATTTCTAACACTACTTTGGAATTACTGTGCATATGTTTCTTACAGTATCCATGCATATTAAATTTATAATTTGCATAATAATTAACAGATGTTCTGAGTAAATTTTCAAAACATTTTGCTCAAATATAATTAAACTTGGTTTGTGTAAATCATCGTTCAGTTGAAATCAACTGTAAATTTTGTCACCTTCCACAAAATATTGATGTTGAAACTAAACTGTCATGTCAAATTTTTGAACAATACAGATTCAGTCCGTTTGATTTAAAAATAAAAGATACGATGTAAACAAAGTTTGCTTTGAAGTCTTCAATTAAAAACCAATTTAGCTGAGTATTAGATATACACTTATTACTGTTATTCTGGTCTCTGGTTAATCTTACCCACACATACATGGTACATATACATATATGCAATTACCGGTAATTCAAGTGCAATATACATTTCCTCACAATGGCTGACATGCAATGAAATTTGATTTTGTCAATTTTGTGTGTCTGTAAGATTGCATGTAAATGTATATCAGATTTATAGCTGCTCTCTTAAAAACTGGTTGCTATTTGTGAGTCTTCTTTACACAGATGACAGTAAAGAAACTTTTTTTTCTCCATCTTAGAACTTCAAATTAATACGCATTGATGGTTCGATTCGCAAACTAGAAGACCGTGAAAAACTCATCAATAAGTTTCAAAGAAACTCATCTTATTCAGTATTTTTGTTGACTACTGGAGTTGGTGGTATAGGATTAACATTGACAGCTGCTGATAGGGTAGTAATATGTAAGTATGATGTCATCAGTGTGTGATGGTACTCATGTACATGTACACATTACTTACATGCCAATTTAGATTTGTGCTTGTAAATAAGTTACCTAAGTGTTCTCTCACGTGACAGATTCGCATTCGAATAGATACTTAAATTAGCTGGTATGCTTATTAATCAACACATACACTGTATTTTCAATATGCTGTACATGTCACATGGTACTTGTATATTTTGTGATGACTATGGTACTTCAAGTTTACATGTTGCAACTTGCATGTTAAAAGCTTTCTGTGATTTACTTTCAACAGCTTGCATACTGTAAAATACTTTATTTTTGCTTTATTTTTCCCCTATATTTCACATTCAACTCATCAAGAATCAATGAAAATAAATTCCATACAAAACACCTAAAAAGCCTTATCAGTGAAAATTAATTCCAGCTAAAATAAAGTATTTTACAGTATTCTGCAATGAAATGTGTCTCTTTGATTAGTGAAACATCCTAATTAACAAGTATGATGTTAAATGTTTCCTACATTGCACCCTAATTTTGTTGAGATACTGAGTCATCATCTCTATCCATCTAACTGTGGTACAGTAGATTTCCATCAATCTAAAATTGATTGATACTTGTTTTTCAGTTGATCCAAGTTGGAATCCGGCAACTGATAGCCAGGCTGTTGATAGAGCTTACCGACTTGGACAGAAGAAAACTGTTGTTATTTACAGACTAATAACATGTGGAAGTGTAGAAGAAAAGATTTATCGTCGACAGATATTTAAAGATTCCATTACCAAACAAGCAACAGGTTCTTCTAAAGATCCATACAGGTAGTTATGGCAATGAGAAATTAAGTTTGATGCCATAATTTTTCCCACCAAAATATTTGTGCAATATCATGAACAGTTTTTTGTTCTAAATGTATTTATTAATTAATTTTGGATCGAATGGAAATAAGTTATATGAAGGAAGGTTTTTTTTTTTGGCAAAAGGTGCCAAAAGATAACAATGTTGTTTATAGTTCTAACATACATTTTAATGTTTAGGATATGCAAATGAATATGCAAATTGTTGTGTAAGAAAATAGTGTTGCTGAGGGAAAAAGACCAAGGGATTGAATTATTCATAGTAAAAACCATAGACATTACAGTGTACTTGTGACTGAATATGCGAGTTTATGCCCATGTGAAGTACATGTATATTATTGACCAAACATTTGCAAGATGAATGATTGTGGGCAGTGGTTGTCGCGCAGTGTGTGTTCAAATTACATGTAAACAATGTATTTTACACCCATTGTGTACGTCGCTATGAGTCCTATATCGAACAGGACGTGGCCTGACAACCATCACCCTTTAACAAAATCCAGTTGAACTTCAGCGATTGAAGCCATCTTGAACAAGAGTTATCTGCCTATAACCTGTAATACATGTCTTGTTCATTTTGTATGAAAATTAAGGCTTGTAGTAAAACATATTGCATAAAATGTGTTGGACTCTCCACAGATATTTTACAAGACTAGATATGAAAGAATTATTTAAACTTGACGACCCGACTGTCTCCACAACACAAATACAGTTGGAGCAGTTACATTCAGCCAAGAGGAAGACTGACACTAGTCTGGACATGCATATAGCATACTTATATTCACTTGGTGAGTGACACATCGTTATATGCTCTAAACATTACCCATCTGTTTATCCATCAGTCTGTACGTCTGTTCGTCCATATTTCAAGAAATTCAGTTTATGAACATCTCACATACAGAAAATAAAGTTGAATTTTTAAATTTCATTTGTTATTATACTGTGAGCTGATTTAATTTTGCAAGAAACAGTTTTTCAATATAAATTCTGTATAAAAATTGTGAAATTTTGGAGTAGTGAAAAATGTCTGGGGTACTACCCAGATGTGGATACGAGGTGTCTGCTACTTTTGTGAATTTTTCTGGTAGCGAATATTATTGAGCTTACAGTATGATAAACTGTATTAAACTGCATTATGTACATAGTTCTATCAAGTAAATTATTTAAGTTTATTCCACAAATGTACAAAGTCAACAAATAAAAAATTTAAAATTGTCATCACACTGCATTACGCTGCTCATCATCTTTTTCATACTACTGTTCGCATTTTGTTTAAAACCTTCATAAATATTTCTACTTTCCTTGATTGATAAAAGCCCTCATTTGTTAATTATTACTGCACGTTACAGGTCCCCCTAATCCCTATTAGAAAGTTACATCTGTTCTCCAGTAAATATGTCATCGAAAATAAGACTACTGTAAAATCTGTATTAGAAACCACAGCTTCTAATAAAATGATACAATGCAACAGAGGGTATGCGGCTTCTATTAGAGCATCTACACATATGAGAAATAGTGTGCTGCTTCTAATACAGATTTTACTATATCACTTCTGTGAACATCAAAGTTTTTAGCATCTTTGGTCATAATATTCAGACTAACTTATAATCATGTTCCTGTGATGAGTAGTAGTGTATACTTTAAACTGCTTTAATTTCGCATGAGACATGTTTTCACAAATTTCATGTTTGTCTATATTAAAAATTGGCTACTTTGATGAAATTTTCTCCCGACAAACGCCATAAAATATTCAAAGCAAAGATTTGTCTCTGGTGGAAAGTGTTTGCAGAATACCAGAGGTATGCACCTACTGATAAGCCAGAGGCAGTGTTGCTGATGGTGATGGTGTGACCTTGTTGAAAACATATTGTTCTTTTGATGCTTTAATGCAAATGTTAAGACCACTGGGATTGACCTGAATATCAGTGTGAAGCATCCATGGCTGTGGTCGTGTTGTAGGAGGTTGGAGATGGGGTGGTGAAATTGCTTACTCTGAGAAAGACAAAGAATGTTTATTCTGAATGTCGGCTACATCATGAGTTGATCAGAAGGCTGAAGCGAATGAGGGGCTTTAAGGTCGTTCTTCTTTTTTTTCCAAAGGATCCAATGTAGAGTGTTCCAGTTGGTTATAAATCGTTGTTGTGACCTGCTTTGTTGTGCATGTCATGGGTGGTAATCAGATATAGTTTGACAGTGTTGTAGACAAACCTAGTCGATGCAAAGGACATGACAAATAGTATTGCTAAATGTTGGGTGATTGGTAGATTTAGAATGTTATATGCAAGGCAGAATTCAGCGTACCGAGAACGGCCTGCAGCATCTGCTCATTGTGTTGAAGTGGCCAGAGAATTTCCTCCAGATCACTTATGGCAACAGATGTTGAGGAGGAAGTTGGTTGATATATGATACCTTGTGTTGACTGGGTGCTTTGCTATTTGAGGTGCCAATGACTGGAATCTCTGCGTAATTTCCTTACTTGTGTTTTCATTTCAGCAATATTTGGTATAAGTGACCATGATCTGATGTTTAGTGAAGAAGCTGAAGAATGTGATGAATCTGAAGATGAGGTCGTTGGTGACTATGTACAGCAGAAGGTAAGAATATCAACACTGAAATGTATCAACTTGTTTATTTGGTTATTATCATATTTGTCCTATTTCAAGCGCAAATAAACAAAAAAAATGTATTTATTGTATGCAGATATTTTGTGAGGCACTTTTAACCTTTTTACCACTAGTTCTCTCTTTTCATCACAAATTCAAAAAAATAGTCCACTTCATGGTCTGCGCATTTTTTCAAAAGATTGGGACAAAAATAGCCAAATCTTTTGAGTAAAAACTGAAAATTGACAAGTTTTGTTGGCTACAAAATTAGGGTTCATTTCCAGAAATATTGAAGAATATAAGAAAATGGGGCAGAAAAATTTGGGCGAGAAAGTCTTGTGGTGAAAAAGTACAGGATGAACTTTGACCTTATTCACACCTGTAGCATTTATGTAAGCGCTACTAATACAGCAAATATAACACCTTTATTTTAAATATTAGTTTCTTGTGTAATCTACTTTTCAAGGTGTACTTTCTGTCTCATTTGACTATTAAATCAATTCTCCTCTCATTTCATAATTTTTGCACACAGGTTAGAAGAGCTCAAGAACTCTTGTCTAATGAGTCTGATCTAACTAGACAGTATAATGAGAGAATAAAAAATGGTACAGAGCCTGCACCAAAGAACGATCCAATGGAGCATCAATATAAACCAACTAGAGCTCCAGGTAATACATTAGGGTTCTCTCAGGAAACTTTATAGTGTGTTGGTTTGTTGGCTAATTTGCATATTAATTATCATATTCATTATATTTGAATTCATTATTAGTTACACATCTCCTATAAATCCCTCTAGTAATGAAACTCTTTGACGTCAAAATGATGTAGATGAGAGAAATGTTCAACTTTGTTTTATTGTGTGGGTGTTTAGAATATAAAAAAGCATATATACAAGACAGAATTTCATACCTCAAAAGAAGCTGCTCTCTGATTGATCTAACTGTTAGGTGTTGGGGTTGAGTAGCCAATCAGATACAATATTGTAAATCACTTGGACTTGACTCCAGATCTTAAAGCGAGGAAGTTGTCATCTGCGCATGTTGCAGACGGCCATAGCGTGTTGTTGTTTACGAACATGTGTCTACCCATGAGCCTTTGCATTTTTAGTGTGCATTATCATCGCTTAGGACTCAATTCCCACTTGTGCACAGGTGACAACCTCTCCCATTTAATCTCTGTGGAAGCTGACCCTTATTTTACATCACAGAAGTGATTCTCAGCTGGAGGATGTGACTTATAGATATCAAATATTCAATGTAATGTTTTATTTCAATTGCTGACATGCAAAGAAAAACTGACTACTGTACACTCCTTCATTTTCACTACTTTACTGAAGGATGAATCAGTGAAAATAAAATCCAATGAAAATACCATTTTTCTTTGGTGAATTGGTGAAAATAACTTCATGCAAGACAGTCGAAAATATCTTTTTAGTGACAATTAATTCAAGTTAAAATAAGGTTTGTTACAGTAAAAGCTTCCTCGATATTATTCATTATATATGTAGGCAAGTCATGGAGTCCCAAAACAGTTGACCTTACAAGGACTAATGATGTGGTTGATCTGCGAGATGACAGTGGGGAAGATAGCGATGTTGTTGATCTGGACCAATCTGTATCTAACTTGGCATTGCATGATCCACCGTCACAAGAACAGGTACCAATCTCACTTTGATAATGTCTATATATAAGAATTAACAATTAGACACATAAATCCGAGAAAAAAATCTGCACAGAGAAAATTTTGGGAATGTAATCCACACTATGCCTGATCGGTCGTATTTGATAAAGGAAATCAGATTTTTTTTTTAAACACTGTAGCCAATAACAAGCGAAGAAAAACTATTTTTTTTATTATTCCAAAGTTCTCAATGGCCAACACATAATAATCAAATAAATGTTGACCCAAAGTGGAAATTTCTTACCTACAGGTCAGCATAACAGAATCGGTGTATTGTACTGAATAAACACTGAGGCTAAATCAGATGCATGACATGCAATTTTGCTTTATGTCAATAACAAAAATCTAGCTCTGTGTGCACCCAAGTCAATAATTGTGAATATTTTTGAGTGTGTGTGAATTTTAGTAATAACATGTCTATAATATGATGTGTAATATGTGTTTAATCCAAATCAACAAAAAGCCCATACACAGAGATTTTACTCGATACAACATGCAGTGCTATAAACTTCAAATTTTAGTGTTAATCATTGACCACTAATTTATGTTTTATTGTCTTAGCAGGGCAGCAGTAGTTCATCCAGCTCAAACAACTCAGAATTCCATACCGTTGACGACATTCAGGAGGATTCAGACGACGATTCAGAACATGATTTAGACAAACTCGGCAGAGAGACTGATGCTGATGAGACTCTTCCAGACGTTTTAAACAACTCAAGATCTGAAAGTTTACGAAATCCTGAAGACCTTGGAAGTCGTCCTGCCAGTGGCATGACATCCAAAATGATGATTGGTGACAGAGATTTTGAAACCCCAGATATTGTTATTGACCAGACTTGTCTTGATGGAAACAGCTTTAAATCACCTACCCCGGCAGGAGATGCCATCGTTGAAGACGATTTAAATGAAAGCATCATCAACACATGTCGCAAAAAGAAAAGGAATGCAGCGTTTATTTCAGATGACGAGGAGGAAGCTTCCTTTGAAGCCAATGAGCTGGAATCTGACAGGGATTCTGTCAAAACAGATTATCACAATGATGTAGAAGCAATGGATACAGCTGATGATGGTGTGCTTGCTAGCCTATCCCATGATTCTATTGAGAAAGATTCTCATGACATCACTAATGGACAAAACACCAGAATCAGTGTTGGAAAGGGAAAAGACAGCCTGTCAGAAAGTGTACGATCTGATACTGCCGTTGCTGATCTTGAACAGGAAGTTGAAGGAGGTGTTTCCGGAGATAATGAAACTTCTTTTGTAGAGGTAGACTCTAAACATTGTCAAGCGAGTTTTGAATCTCGTGCATCCATGGACGGTAAAGACAGTGATAGTAATAATGTTTCAACTGAAGAAAGTTCTGATCCAGACGAATCTCTATCACCAGTAGAAGTAGATACAAAAGAAAGCCAAGTTGATTTTCCATCACCTGTTTGTTCAGATGATGAAGAGCGAAAGATGGAAGCTATCCTGTCAGAGTCTGTACACAACGTTTTCTCCTCAGACGATGAAAATGTCTCCACTCCACTGAACAGAAGTAAGCTAGGTCTACGCACTGCTAGCTCCACAAAGAGGAGAAGATCAAGCATTCGAATGGTTTCGTTAGTATTGGACTCAGATGAAGATTTGCCAGAGAAAGAATGTAGAGGGTTTAATCAGTTGATTAGACAAGACATTATGTCTCTGACAGAGTCACCTATTGTTGCGCATAGTAAGTCCAAAGACAGCATGCTTGTAGACAGCAGTGATGGTGCTTTCGTTGCAGAGACACCTGAAAGCAGTCCATATAAAGAGACCAGGACACCAGAAAACCAATTTCATAATATTCTTTCAGAGACTGATGAAGAGGAGAATGGAAAAGATGATAGTCTGGCGTCAGATATTGAACAGAGTGATAATGTTGTTGATTTGACAGTGTCATCAAATGATGCATCAGGCAATCTTGCAGTGGAGGAAAGTGATGTTCCAGATGAAGGTGAGGAGGAGGAAGATGATGATGAGGAGAAGGAAGCTGAAGGTGATGAGGAAGAAAATGGAGATGTTGAGGAAGAAGATGTTCTTGGTGAAGAAGATAATACCAATGAAGAAGGTGTTACTGATGAAGAAGATGTTGCAGACAAAGGTGATGAGGAGGAAGATGAAGATGTTGAGGAAGATGTTGAAGAAGAAGAAGATGTTCTTGATGAAGAAGATAATACTGATGAAGGTGTTACTGATGAAGGTGTTACTGATGAAGAAGGTGTTGCAGATGAAGAGCAAGTAGATGTTACAGATGAAGATTTTGCAAATGAGGAAGATGAGGATTTTTCAGATGAAGATGAAAACCATAGGGACAAACATTTTGATGAACCATGTGGTGAAGACAATACTTCAGGGGAAAGTTTTCAGTCTGCTCAGGAAAATGTGTCAGATAAAGAAGTGGTTGATGAGGACTTGTCAAGTGAAGAGGAAATTTCCAGAGCGAAAAGAACAAAGAAAGTTCATGTTCTTGAGGAGAGCTCTGATGAAGATGAGGATGAAGAAGATGGTAGCTTAGAGAATTCCAATGTTCAAGGTAAAATTTTTGGAGAATTGCATTAATTTATTTTCAAGTAGCCTTACTAATTTCTTTGTCCCAGTTGAACAACTTTTGGCGACTAGTATTTGTTACGGCCATTTGTTTATTGCTGTATATCAACACATGTATCTTTGTCCAAATGTAAACTGCTAAAGTTGTATTCAAATCTTGTATTTCCGTCCATCTACATGATTTGGTGCAAAGCTGAGTCAATGGTTTTATTTTCATCTGTCCTTAACCAATTTTTTAGTAGGTGCAAAAACAATATATCACCTATATAACCTACTCACATTGGTAAATTGTATACAATATAGGGAAATTTGAGCATTTAGTGGAAAAACATAAAAATAGATATTTTCAGTTCTGTTTCCATGACAACTATTTTATAAGCATGGATGGTACCAGTACATGAATGCTACCAATTTCAGCCAATTTGAAGTTAAACTTGTAAAGTTATAGATGAAATCATGTTTTTCAATTTCTGACAACAGACTATGATGTCATACTTTACCCATAATCCTTTGCTTGAAAATCAAGATGGCTGACTACATAATACTGATGAAAAGCTAAATATCTAGAGAATGAAAATTGATATAAAAAAACTGTAAATTGCATTCTCCTACATTTGTGGAGATTTTTCTTTAGGGGGGTCATAATGTTGTTTGGATTGATGTTACCTTTAATTATGTATGTATCACAGAATGTATTCTCCAGCTATAACTACTTGGTATGTACACATCATTGAAGGTTTATAAGCAGATCTCAAACTATGATTAAAACCTGTTCTTATTGAATACAGATGCTTCAATGGAGGAAGTTAATAATGTAGCTACTAGTAGTTCAGAAGATGAAGATATGGAGGCTGAGTCTGCTGTTGATGAGAGAGAACAGGCTTATGAGAAGCTTGTTAAGGATGGCAGGTAAGAATTATCACTACTTTGTGTACATTATGGTGTGCTGGTAATTGAACCAGTCAGGGATGAAAGGGTTGTATCAAGGTAGCAACAGTGGGGAAAATGGGTTTATAATATTTTGAAAAATGTATTTTTTCTCACCCACTCCCTCCAATGACAATTCTCAATTCACCTTTCCACCACAATTCACATGCCATTTAAACTTTATTCTGACCAATAGCATGGCAGTAACTCATTTCAAAACCCGAATAACCCTGCTGTTGCCTTTGGGTGTCTGTCACTAGTAAATATGCTTTTAAAATGTGTACTTTAGGTGAAATGTACTGTGAGAAATAGCGATTTTAATTCATTTGGCAAGTCAGGTGTGAACAGTAATGAGCAGAAAATAGCGTGTAGATCAGCGCACATTGTCAAATCAGCGACCGTTGTGAAATAGTAAATATCACTACAGACAGGGACCATGAACTTATGGTATTTTTGTTGCATTTAAAACCACTCTTTGCCAACTGACTTTGCATAGTCCATACAGTGTCACTTTGTTTGTATGCAAATTAGTAAACCACCACATTTTAATTCAATATTTCTGTCCATTCCGCAGATCTTTTGAGAAAGACGGCAATGTACAGTCTGCTCTGAAATGTTACCTCAAGGCTTTAGATATCAACAGCCAGGATAAGAACTTGCAGAAAAAAACAGTTCAACTTTATGAGAAATATAAATACCACAGTAATCAGGGCAAAAAATAAATATTACATCTAGTCATGGTAGACCTGCCTTCACTTTCCCAGCTCTTCAATACGCGTTTTCAGTGCATTTTGCCCTGACTATGGTTGTGGCCAAAGCAAACTGTTATAGCCAAAATTCAGCTGGAGTTTGTCATGGTTGACATGTTATATCATATGGTTCTATCAAGTGAGGCATATTTTAACAAAAATGTTACAACCAAATGATCGTCTCATCTGACACCCTAAGTGTATATGCCATAACTACTGTAGATTTGTATTATTAGGTATAGTCTAATATAGACAAATTAGGTTATTTCGCCTGTGTAAATCCTGTTCAAGATGTTTTAAAATGATTTATATAGTGGTATATGTAGATTAATAGACCTCTGCTACTGTTTCCCATTCAGGAACAAGGGGAGGTGTTTGCACCTACCAGAACTATATATGTGTTGTCTTTAGTACAAATTTGGGAATTTTGCTATAGATGTTACGTAATCATGGATTAAAAAATGGATGCAATATTATTGTTTACATTCATATGTTAAATCAGTTTTATTAGCTTACAGCAAGCGCAAACAAGATTCATACAGAGAGTTGGAAAACTCCCTAAGAAAGTCCCTATAAACATTATAATATAACAAGGGATTTACTTATTGACGCTATCAAATGATCTAATGTTATGAAAACAATTTGCTACGTTTTGTGACAATCTCATTTCTCCTAGTGCCACTTAAATTTGGACTAACAAATTCTTGTCTAGTTACGTACTATGACCACGGTTACTAAATTTAGTAACCGTACTATGACTAAGTTGCTTGTTACAGTTTTGTGACTATACAAAGGGATTTGTAAATTATACTAATCTTATTTGTATAGTCTTCAACTGTCTGAGGGCAGTTGATGGGGTTATTGCCATTGCCTGTACGAATCTTGTTTGTGCCCGCTGTAATCAGTAGAGATTTTTTTTATTTTATGCTGTTTCTGTATCATGTTCTGAAATTATGCAGAGAGGTACACATGTTCTAATGTGATGAACTAGAATCTCCAGACACTTGTAATATACATGTACTTCCACTTGCACTCAACCATCGTTTTACTCGATACTAAATACAACTATCTACACCAACTTGCTGTTTAAGTCAAGTATGATCGGAAATCAATCAAAATTGTGTTTTTGTCCACTTTTTCAAGTGGACTTGAGTTTCTACCGACATTTACATCAGATTTTGATCATACTGAAATATGTAAGCAGTGTATTTTAAGAATATTGACTTAAATGTATCAGAGTATGTTCTTTTTCATATTAATTAGTGATTTTTTCAAACTAATTTTGTGATGCTGTCTTCTTGATCTTTCTCAGTTTTGCAATAAACAATTTTGTAAAATACTAACTTTTGCAATAAACAATTACTGGTAGAAATTAATTAGTACAATAGAAGTAATTAACGTTATATTGTTATGAAAATTATCAACGGTGTTATTAAAAGCTATTTTTCATGGAGAACACTTCTATCAAAGTGAAAATATTGTGCTAGAATGACATTTTGTCGTATTTACAATATCAGTTTATGTGCATTTTGTTGTCATGATGAATGTGACTAATACTTGAACGCTGTAAATCACTTTAATTTCAAACCAGAAATTGCACATGCATTTGGAGCTAGAAATTAGACAGCATAGTCTGTGTGTTGTGAAAGTCGGTGTATGCACTGATAACATGATTTCTAGCTGTGAAAATGTATTGAAGTAGATGATCTATGCATTTGTAATAGAAACACAATATAGACTATTTACCTGTACACATTATGTAAGCCCATTCATTATTTTATGCAGTAAATTGTGATGAAATAATACAGCGACAAAACCATGTTTATCTTTATCCTGTACTTTTTGTATCATTCCTTGTCTTTATAAAAAAAGATTTTTTATGGTTGCCGGGTGTTGCCATTCATTGATTTAAATAATAGCATAGTCCCATCAGTGTGCATTACGTAATGACATTAATTATTCATTTGGAAAAAAGATTTTAAAAAAATGTATCAAATTACAACAACTTTACTTAGTATTGTCTTGCTAGGCTTTCTAAACTTTGTTTTTCTGAAGAGTTTGTGGCTGCATGTTCCTCTCCTGACTTTCCCCGACTTCTACCACAACTCCTTTTTGATGATTGAGGAAATAAACTATAGTACCATGTCTTCTACCATAACAATTACTTTCAGATAAAGGACATAAAGCAGAGTCCCCTGGCTTCTACCACAGTGTCTTTCTCAGATCAATGACTACTATCAGATTGAGAACACAAAACCTGGTCCCCTGACTTTGACCATGGGGTACTGCTTTCAGATCAAGGACATACTGTCTTGTCTCAGACCTCTGCCACGATTACTGCTCTAAAGAGATTAAGAACATAAAGCCTCCCTCCGACTTTTACCATGACTACTACTCCCAGATCAAGGACACAAAACATGCTCTCCTGACTTCTACCAAAACTAGGTATAGGTGCAACTATAACAACAGCGACATGAATCCAGTAAGTAAATTGTATAATGGAATGACAACAACCTAGTCAGAAATCCAAGGAATGTGTCAAATATTGCTTGTCTAGCTTGTGCCACTATATCTACTATGGATATTATGTTGGAATCATTAGGAACTTGCTCATCCACCTCTTATCTGTTTTCCCTCTACATGGAAGAGAAATGAACTCTAACAATGCTTTTAGTAATTTAACATACTGACAGCCATTTTTATCAAAAAACTAGAATCAGAAAATTTGAATAGGTCACTGTTTTTCAGTCGTGCCGAGGCAGATTGTGTTCAAACTTTGTGTGAGTGTCACGGATGATGGTTTGTTGATGTGGATCAGTTTATTTTGTGATTTGATTCAAAATGGCCAATTTTACTTTCATGTGCTCTTAACCATTTCCAGGACATACTTTGATCATTTGTATCTTTGAACGAGAAAAAAAAAAAAAACAAGTCATTGTCGTTGGAATTAGGGGGAATGTTATATTCATGCCAAAAATAAAGTACTGGTAATATGCACCAAAAGTTTAGTTACTAATTTTGAGTGAATTATTGGCTAGTCCACCATCAACAGAAATTAGATGTATTAATATACTCTTCCAAAATCCAAAATTAAACAGAATATGCTATTCATGCCTTTTTTGTAAAAATCCTGTCCAAGATACCACATTTTTGAAAAAATAAAATGAATGCCAGTCGGCCATTTTTGATCAGTTTATGGAAGAAACTGACATGAACATGTATTCCTATACCTGTATGTATGATGTATGTGCCAAATATGAATGAAAATGGTCCCTAAGCCTTGGAGAACAAAAACTGACAAAGCATGCATAAGATATACCACATTTAAAAAAAAAATGGTTGCATGTCCCAGATAACGTAGTGGGCCTCTTGTGGATTGGTAGGCCATGACACTTGTGGCGGGAACCAGCCAAGCGTCCGACTTGCCATTCACAAAGACTCCGGGAACCAGCGAATCTGGAATTATGGCGGGAAATCGAATCGGCGATAGCGACCTCTATAGGCGGGAATCAGCATATACAATTAATTGTTTTTCAAAGCATTACATATTAATTTTAATATTCATAAAAACAAAAAGAAATTAGGAAAATTAGCGTGAAAATAATGCGAAGACGAAAACATCCAAGATCTTGTAGACCGTACGCGTGAAAACAACATCATAATAAATAAGGGGAATTCCCGGAAATCCGGGTACTTTAATCACATGTGGCGGTGATTTTGAGATCTGTGGTTCGCTGAAATTACATCAACGCTTTCAGTCAACGATAGTGACCATTGTTTAGCCTCTTGGGTAGCATTGTGGTGATATTTATCGTACTGCAGCAAAGCAAACGAAGGTAAAGTGCAAATTGTATACGAGTAACTGCCACTCTGGTACCACTGTTAACAACAACACAATATTTTCCCCTGTGAAGAAGGCGTTAGGTATGCATGTATAATTTCAAGATGGCTATTTCCCCCGGGGTCGAGTAAAACCCTGGATCATAGATTTATTTTGAAATTCTTTTTGAGCGACTCGTCGGTTAGACATGGGCCTGGGTAATGCCAGCGTTCATGGTACAGAGTTCTTGGTAATTTAATTGCGACAATATGGTAATGGTTTTGTTATCAATTAATATTCTAATATTGAACAACGAAATAATAAAAAAAAATACACAAACCAAGGAAAACAGTTCTTTTAACGAGATGACGATAAGTGACGCAAATCAGACATTTCTTAAAAACAGCAGTCAAAAAAATCTGTTCTATTTGAAAGGTTGTGATTGATTTATCGTTAAAGGGCGGTCATCGCTCCGTGTGACATTTGTGTTGATAAAATTTGATTTTCCCACAGTTCAGTGCACTCTTCTAATGGAATTTAAAAGTACGAGTTTTGACCTTGGCCTGATGTGCACTAATTACCGCCAGTGACTATTCCGATACCTTCCAATTGCTCAACAAA